TCTCACTCTCTCTCTCTCTCTCTCTCTGGCTGTCACTGAGCGACCGTGTCCCTGCAGCCCTGCGCTGGCACGGGGGCGGGGGGAGGGGGAAGGGCGAGGAATGACCTGAACCACCCCAAGTGAGGCGTCTGACCCCGAGGGGCGAGGGGCGCTGCCCGTCAGAGGCCGGGAAGTGCAGACGGAGCGGAGCGGCCCACACACGCTCCCGCAAACGTGCGAACCCTCTACCCGCGTGTCTGCCCGGCTCCCCCTCCAGCGCCGGCCCCGCTGCCCGCCCCAGACGGGAAATTCGATCCAGCCATTTCCTCTGCTTCAGATTTCATGAGAGCCAAACTAAAGGTTTTCCGTCTGTCACCCTCCAGCCCGACAGTCACTAGTAAGCAGACGAGTAAATGAACCGCGCGGGCCACTGTCCACAGAGGGAGACCATTGTCACTTGGCGACCTGCGGGTCTGTTTGAGCAAAGGAGCGTTATGGTTCCAGGCATCCGGGCAGCGGGGCGAAGCGCCTGTGAGGGGAAGCTTTGCCCCACGCCGCGCCGCCCCGTCCAGTGAGAGCAGACGAGGTGTCTATGGCAGATGTGGCTGCCTCCCCCGCGTCCACCTCTCAGGGAAAAATCGAGCATCTTTACGGCTTAAGCCACAGTTCAGGCAGGTGTTTTGTCACTGGTGTCGGATGGGACACACTCTGCTTTTTGGTCGCTAGTGTTGGATGGGACACACCCTGACTGCAGTGGCATCCACGGGACCTGGCAGTGACTGCAGAGGTGGACGTCTGGTGACAGAGACTGGGAGGCGAATTAGAAAGCCGCTTCCTGGACAGTACGCAGGGCCAGGGCCGAGTCACCATGGAGAAACATGCAAGACACACCGACATCCTCGTAAGGGTCCAGCTACCTCTGCAAGAGGGAGGGAGCGGGGACCAGAGAGCTGAGCGCAGCAGCTGCTACTGGTGGGGACGCGCAGCCTCAGAGCGGTCACCTCCAGCGGGCCTGAGCCAGTCTCGTGCCCGCGGAGCTGGGCCTGAAATTCCTGCGTCCCCGTGGGGCCCTCGACCCATGTGTCCCCCGGGGACAGGGGGGACGGCGGACGCTGCCTTCGTGTCCGAGGAAACAGACACTTGTACGGTCTGCCCCAAATTCTGGGCCAAGGCGAAAATGGTTCTCCTGATAGTAAGTAACCAAGGCCTGTCCTCACAGACTTCGATATCTGAATACGGACTACCTTTATGACTCAGGCACCCGAAACGAGAAAGAACGCATAAAGGGGGGCTTGGAGAGGCAAACGCAAAACCGATCTAGAGGCAAGTCCCCTAAACCAGGGGTCCCCAGTTCCCAGGCCCCGGATCGATACTGGCCCTGACCTGTTAGGGACCAGGCTGCACAGCAGGGGGTGAGCGGCGGGCCAGGAAGCCAGCGAAGCTTCATCTGTATCTGCAGCCGCTCCCCAGCGCCAGCATCACCGCCTCAGCTCCGCCTCAGACCATCGGGTGTTAGATGCTCATAGGAGCCCCGGTCCCTGGTGCCACAAATGTTGGGGACCGCTGCCCTAAATCCAGGCCTCGCAGAATTCCCACAGATTGAGTTCCTACTGCAGGTGAGTTTATCTTCCAAACCTATAAAACACCAGTTATAACGCATAAAGTGCTAGCAGACAGAAGAGAGGGTCAGACCCTGTAACTGTCATGTAATCAGACAGCTGGATGGAAACTCTGAACTCTCAAGCAACTGCTAAACTAACGGAACTGAGTCATAGTTAATGAGCCAACAGAGAAGATGAAAAGAATGATAAAAACATTCATTTCATCGAAAGGAAGCAGGAAAAAGGAAAAGGCGGAGAAAGAACAGACTCTGACCTGTCCATAGCCATAACCACATTGAAGGCTAATGGCGTGAACGCCGCGCTCACAACAGAGACTGTCAGATGGAACGGAAGAGCAGGAACCCACTGAGCGCTAAAAGACCACAAAATGCGAATAACGCAAAAATAAATGGATGCGGACCAGCGTCAGTGCCAGTGCGGGGAGGCCGAGGGGCTCGGTCAGTGGCCGACGGAGGGGGACAGAGAGGCTGACTCCACGGCGACAAAGGGGTCAGTCACCAAGAGGACGAAGCAATCCTAGACATCTGTCCAGCAGACAGGAGACCTGTGAAAGGCACGGAGCAGGCCCGATGGGACAGGGAGAGGAGACAGGCGAACCCACAGCTACGGGCGGATTTCCCAACACCCCTCTTTCAATAACTAACGGAACAGCTAGGGCGGAATTCAGCAAGGGTACAGAAGACGAAACGGCATTTCAACAAACTTGACCTGACGTTTATAGAAAATTCCACACGACGACGGCTCATGGAAACAGCGTATGGAAGGCACGTCCCTCGTCTGCACCCTACAAAGTTACCAAGAGAAAATGGGAGAAAGAGAAGGAGGAAAAGAAAGGAGATGCCGGGAAGGAGCGAGCCAGGGCTGGCCTCGGGGGCCGCGGCAGGATCTAGGGGACGGCGGACGTTCCACGGGCCCGACTTCGCTAAAACCTGGAGGACTTGGCAAGCCCCCGCTGACATCTTAACGGTGCCTGTGCCCACAGAGGGCAGGACCGACGCCCTCCAGGGAAATGTGGCGGCCTGCACCTTCCAGCAGCTTCCGCTGGCACACGGGGCCACCACGAGGAGGGAGAGGCGGCCGAGCATGGCCAGCAGAGGAGCCAGCGCGCCTCTGGGAAGGTGAACTCACATGGACAGGTGCCAAGTGACCCGCAGACCAGGGAATCGGAGGTCTACACCGGGAGCTCAGGCCCGATTATTCCCACACGGAGGCAGGAGTGTAGACGGGGCCCAAAGGGAGAGTCCAAAGCAGCTCGTCTAGGCGGAGGAGGGGTCCAAGGAGATGGTGGCTCCCAATGTGGCTGCGTACTGGTCGCCTGGGAGATTCCACGAGGCCACACCGGTGCATTACCCCAGACGCCCTGGGGTGGCACCCACCCCGACCTTGGCGTTTTTAAAAGCTCCCTGGACAACGCTGACGTGCAGTCCTTGGGAGAGCCACCGAAAAGCCAGCCTCGGCTTCGAGGACAAGTCATGGCTGTACGTGGGTGTCGCACTGAGAACGGGGTGGTGAAGCCTAAGCCTATGAGGCCTACTGGGCTCCCCGAAAGTTCCCGGTGGCCGAGTTTATTATACCGCCCGTCCTCTGTCTTATTCTGAGGGGTAGGAGGGACATCAGCTTAACGAAGGCCTTAGGGACAGTGGCACCTGGTGGTCATCCCACAGTAAAGTGACCCAATCAGATCGCCTGACAGGGGACCCACCTGACGAACATTGCGCACAGTTTCCAATGCAAGGAGCATAAGAAAACCTTAAAAAAAAAAAACATAAATAAAAATAAAAAGCTTAAGAAAACCTTTGTAAAAAGCTGTATCATACCTCCACAGGCCCTATCAGATCCATGAAAAGAGAACAGAATGTTACCAAAAAGGAACAAGAAAAACAAAAAAGAATTCTGAGACGCTGCACACACACTAGCAGAAATAAAAATCGGAAAACGTTAGGGAAACATCACGACCAAAAAAATACAGAAGGAAAACAGGAGAAAAGGAGAGAATCGGCTGAAGAACTCGAACCACCACGTCGTAGGTTCCGGGGTGGAGGTGGACACGCGACGGGGACATCGTCCCACAATGAAAGAGTGATGTTTTCCAGCACTGAAAGACAGGCGTCGCCAGACCGAAAGCTCCCGCAGAGCGCTCGGCAAAATAAATTCCCAACGCCCACCACCGGATTTGTTTAACGCACCCAGGACGACAGGAAGTTCCCGTTTCCGGAGACAGGAGAGCGGTCACGTGTAAACAGATAGAAGTCCGACTGGTGTAGACGCCTTGCCGGCAACGGCGAAGCGGGGTGACGAGAACCGCCTCCAGGGACCCCCAGCGTAGAATTCTGTGCCCGCCACAGCACGCGTCCGGTGTGGGCGAGTAAGGACGCTTCTGCTATCACGTGCTTTCAAATCATCTGTCACGCGGCCTTCTCGAGCATTCACTGGAGCACGTGCCCTCCGCCCAAACGCAGAAGCACACCTGGAGACAGAAAGGCACGGGATGGGACACACACAGACCTGGGGGCGCCGGGAGGGCGAGGGAACCCCCAGGATGGCGGGCAAGGCCCTCGCGAGACCACAGCTGTGCGGCGGGCAGCAGGACAGCCACGCTGGGAGGACTGGGGAGGAGGAAGGTGTTGCGGTGGCATCACGAGGAGAAAGGATGAAACTCGGGGAGCAC